GAGGTTCTGTAACTTCTGACTGAAAACAGCCGTGCATCAGTTCTGGGCTTTGTGGGATCCTGTGGATTCTAGTGAGCTGCTGCTGTGGGATCTGCCTGGGGGAATAGTTTGTCTTCAGGGTTACAGAGTTTTGTCTCAGCTGAGTTATGATGCCAGTCAGGAGTTCTGTTACAATAAGGAGTGTTGTTTTTCACTGACACTTTTCCATGAATATATTTTCTTCTAGCAGCTGTGGTATTTATATTGTAAAATCTTAATTTAGAACTGGTCACATATCGGATGTGTGTGACTGGGGGTATCTCTGAGGCATTGTCAGTAACACTGTTTCACTCTTGGACTTCTTAATAAGAACAGATAAAGGATTTAATTGTGTTTTAAATATTTTATTTCTTTCTATGCACTTCAGGTCAGAATATGAAACGTGAGTCTGGAAGAAAGGTCCAGACTGGAAACATCACTGCTGCTAAGGTACTGTGTTCCCACATCGGGCTCTTTGGAGTCTTTTTTTATTACTATTATTTTTTGTATGGTATATGTGCATGTGTATATGTATTTATATATTTAAGAGGGAAAACTGTGTCTGAGGCATGTTTTAAATGAAATTTCAGTGTTAAAATAATAGGTACAGTGTAACTGAACATGGAGGGGTTTAACCCACCAAAACCCCTTTCTCTGCAGAATCTGGAAGTGTTGACATGTGATTTAGTTACTGATTTAGTGTGGAGCCAGTGCTTTTATCACCCCTGTGTTCCCATTCCCACACAATTATTAACTTCTGCATCTTGAGTCACTTACATTTTACAGTGGCTGCTAATTTCATACAGACCCTGGGTATTTTCATACTCTTTGATGCCCTCCTGCACTGGGCACTATTGAGGCCACAGCTCCAGTGCTGGGCTCAGTGTTGGGCCCCTGAGTCCAAGAAGGACATGGAGGTGCTGGAGCGTGTCCAGAGAAGGGCAACGGAGCTGGGGAAGGGTCTGGAGCACAAGTGTGCTGAGTTCCCTTGTGGCTGAGGGAACTGGGGGTGTTGAGCCTGGAGAAAAGGAGGCTGAGGGGAGACCTTCTGGCTCTGTCCAAGTCCCTGCAAGGAGGGTGCAGAGAGGTGGGGGTGGGTCTGTTCAACCAAGGCCCAAGGGACAGGACAAGAGGAAATGGGCTCCAGTTGTGGCCAGGGCAGTTGAGATGGGATGTGAGGAAGAATTTCTTTGCTGCAAGGGTTCTGAGGCATTGGAAGGGGTTGCCCAGGGCAGTGGTGGAGTCCCCATCCCTGGAGGGATTGAAGAGTCGTGTAGACACAGTGCTGAGGGACATGGGTTAGTCGGGGACTGGTCAGTGTTGGGTTCATGGTTGGACTCTATGAGCTTAAAGGGCTTTTCTAACCAAAACAATTCAGTGATTCTCCAGTGTTGCCTCATTTCTCTTGTTCCTCCTAGACTATTGCTGACATTATCCGGACATGTTTGGGACCCAGAGCTATGATGAAGGTAAGAATTTTTGCTGTGTACTGACCAGAACCACCGCGCGTGTTCCAGGTCAGCGCAAACTTTGCTTCTCTTTCCTTTGCAGATGCTTTTGGACCCCATGGGTGGGATTGTGATGACCAACGATGGCAATGCTATTCTCAGAGAGGTAAGTTTCTCCTGAGGGATTGTCTTGCTTCACCTGTGAGTCGGAATCTTCCAGAGTAGAGTTCCAGAGCTGCCAGTGGAACCACTTTATTTTATCTTCTGTCCTGAGAGCCAGCAAGTACTGACCAGCAAGACTGGTTAGTTAATATTAATATATTAATTAAATATTTAATTCCTCCTCCCTGCTTACTGAGGAGGAATTAAATATTGCCAGCAAATGCTTTTCCTCCTCAGAGAATTAGGTTTGATCCAAGGGTGGTAAGTTTTCTTGGAAGTTTTACAAGACTGATGTCAATTTGGTGGCAATTGTAGCTATAATCACTTGCATCCAAACCTTACGAGGAGGTGCTTGCTTTTACAATGCCAAAATAATTAGACCAAGGTAATTGTCATCTTTCTGGTGCAAGTGGTGTTCAAATAACATCACAAAAATGGTAATGCCTGAAAAACTGTGGGAGGCAGAGTATTATGAAATACAAGGGCTTAGTTTCGGTCTCAAAAAGAACAACCTTTGCTCTAGGTGGGCAGAATACCTTCGGTTCTTTAAAAGGTATTTGATATTTGTTCCATTGAGTGATGTAAGAAGTTTCAGCTTTAGTATTCTTGCTCCTGTACAGATTCAAGTCCAGCATCCAGCTGCAAAATCAATGATTGAGATCAGCCGTACTCAGGATGAGGAGGTTGGAGATGGGACGACATCTGTGATTATCCTTGGTGAGGAGACTGAATCAGACATGTCTTTGTTAAAGGCCTAGGGCTGGAGTTGGCCTTTGTTGCTTATCAGAGCTCAGTGAGTTATGTTGCAATGAGACAGATACTCGTTATCACAGAATCCCAGACTGGTTTGGGTTGGAAAGGACCCTAAAGATCATCCAGTTCCAGCCTCCCTGCTATGGACAGGGTTGCCAACCATAGATCAGCATCCCAGGGCCTCATCCAGCCTGGCCTTGAACACTTCCAGGGAGGAGCAGCCACAGCTTCTCTGGCCAACCTGGGACACTGGCTCACCACCCTCTGGGTGAAAAATTTCCTCCTGATATCTCCCCTAAATCCCCTCTCTCTTGGTTTAAAACCATTTCCCCCTGTCCTGCCACTATCTGCCCACGGCAAAAACCGCTCTCCCTCCTGTTATTTACCAATTTTTATGTTTTTTATGTGAGGTTCGTCAGACCCTGAGGTGATCAGCTCTGTGCTTTGAAAACTTGTGTTCTCTCCCTGAAATGAGCACAATAAAGTACAAAGAAATAGGTGACACTAGAGCTCTCTACATGGATAGCATGTGCTTTTTGTCTGATGTGCTCTTTTCCTGTCTTGACTCTTGATTGTTCTTATCTGGGTAATTTTGATGGGTTTATTTATCTATTTATTTATTTATTTAGCTGGAGAGATGCTTTCTGTTGCTGAACACTTCCTTGAACAACAGATGCACCCGACTGTGATCATTGGAGCTTATCGTAAGGCTCTGGATGACATGATCAGTATTCTAAAGAAAATTGGGTAAGTATGGGCTGGTGGGAGTTGGAAAGAAGGGATGTGAGGTTTCCATACTGCTTTAAGATGATTCTTCAGGGAATCACATTAAGAAAATATAACTTGGGATGTAACCTGATGTAATTGGGATGCAACTTGATGTAGCTCAATGGGATTATGAATAGATTTGTAGCCTGGAGTAATACTCAGATTAGATTAGATATTAGGAAGAAATTCTTTGGTGTGAGGGTGGTGAGCCAGTGTCCCAGGTTGGCCAGAGAAGCTGTGGCTGCTCCTCCCTGGAAGTGTTTGTGGCCAGGTTGGATGAGGCTTTGAGCAACCTGGTCTAGTGGAAGGTGTCCCTGCTGCTGGCAGGGGGGTTGGGACTGGATGAGCTTTAAGGTCCCTTCCCACCCAATCAGTCTGGGATTCTGTGATTCTATAATTCAGTTTACTATGTGATTTTTTTTCCCTGTGTGTCAGGACTCCAGTGGACGTGAACAACAAAGAAATGATGCTTAAAATAATAAAGAGCGCTATCAACACCAAGGCGATAAACCGCTGGTGTGACCTGGCCTGCAGCATTGCTCTCGATGCTGTCAAGACTGTAGAATTTGAAGAAAATGGCAGAAAGGAAATTGATATTAAAAAATATGCAAAAGTAGAGAAGGTGAGTGTGTTCTGAACCGTTTCTTCTCTGTGTGCTCCGTTCTCATTCTCAACTAGTTGTTCCTGGGCTGCAGTGGGCACAATTCTGTGCTACTGATCCTGCAGTCCACAAACAGACATAACCCTTGAAAACATTTCAGTCAGTGCTATCAGCCTTGCTGGTTTACAGTGAAAACTGGAGCAATTATTGCCACTTTTTTAGAATATTTGTCAAAAAGATCATTGAAGTTGTTGGTTTCCATCTTCCAAACTCTAGAATTTGAGCAGTTTCTCAAGTTCTTCCCCTGCTTTTCATTTCATCTAAACCAACGTGCTCTTCAGATTAATGTGGATGCTGACCTGAGTGTGTCATGGTTACTTGGGAGAGTTTTTTGGTACATGGGATGGATAGTTTCAGGAGCACAGATATTTTAGAGCAGACTGACTTGCCTCACTTTCCCCCTTTCTTGTGTCTGTCAGATTCCAGGTGGTTTTAGTGAAGACTCGTGTGTTTTACGTGGAATCATGGTCAATAAAGATGTAACTCATCCCAGGATGCGTCGTCTTATTAAGAATCCACGTATTGTCCTTCTGGATTGTTCACTAGAGTACAAGAAAGGAGAGAGCCAGGTAAAGCGAGTCTTGTTGGAGATGTCTGCTGCGTTTGGTTTAAGACTAGTTAATTGAACAAATCCAGATAACTCGTTAACAGCAGGAGTGGCACAAGGTTCTCTTCGTGTTCCAGAGACCTTTTTTGCACATATTGGCCAATTCTGCTGTGGGGATCAGTCCCCTGGAGAAAAAGGGAGAAAAATATAACTGAGGCTGCAGTGCTTTTACTCACTGAAGCAGCTACAGCAATTTCTGTATCAAAGTGATGATGGAAAGTCAAAAGAATCACAGAATCCCAAAATTGCCTTGGTTGGAAAAGCCCTTTAAGCTCATGGAGTCCAACCATGAACCCAACATTGACAAGTCCCCAACTAACCCATGTCCCTCAGCACTGTGTCTACACGACTCTTCAATCCCTCCAGGGATGGGGACTCCACCACTGCCCTGGGCAACCCCTTCCAATGCCTCAGAACCCTTGCAGCAAAGAAATTCTTCCTCACATCCCATCTCAACTGCCCTGGCCACAACTGGAGCCCATTTCCTCTTGTCCTGTCCCTTGGGCCTTGGTTGAACAGACCCACCCCCACCTCTCTGCACCCTCCTCCAAGGGACTTGGACAGAGCCAGAAGGTCTCCCCTCAGCCTTCTTTTCTCCAGGCTCAACACCCCCAGTTCCCTCAGCCACTCCTAAGAAATATTTCTGTGTTCAATTAGCCCTGATTGTGACCTGGCTCCGCCTCACAGGTTATTTGATCAGCACTTTTTGTTGTGTGCTTCTCCTAAACTCTGCCCAGGCAATATTGGAGGAGTTAAGATCACTCAAGCCAGGGGGTCCATGTCTGACTTGGTGGAGGGTTGGGAGGGATCCAGTGAGATATTTACACCTCTTTCTGTGCAGACTGATATTGAAATAACGCGGGAGGAAGACTTTGCCCGCATCCTGCAGATGGAGGAAGAGTACATTCAGCAGATGTGCGAGGATCTGATGAGAGTCAAGCCAGATCTCGTCATCACAGAGAAAGGAATTTCTGGTAATAACACATGTGATCCTTCTTGGTGTTGAATTCATTTTAATAAGGTCCATACTGTGTTAATTGCACTGTTCAGGAGCTTTAAAAAAACAAAACAGCAAAAAACCCAAATGAAATGAAAATGTAAAAAACCCTAAAACACAAAAAAACCCCCACAGACCTGATTTTGAACATGAGCCTGGTTTTGGTTTGTTTTTTAGCTTTCTAGCAAATAATTCTACGATGTAGGCATTGAAGTTGGTTCCTGAAGTTGCCCTGTGAACGTGGACACTTATATTTTGCTTTTCCAGCATGTGAAACAATATGAAAATACGAGTGAGGATGAGTCCAGCACACAGGGAACGCTGCGCTGTAGCTTTGCCTGGCAGCGTGCCTTAAGAACCTGCATTTAGGTTTTTCTTTCCAGAACCCTTTTTACTTTAAAGACACAAAATTTGTCATGATAGCCCTGGTTCATTGATTAAATTGCACAAACCTGATTTCAGACTTGGCCCAGCACTACCTGATGAGAGCCAACATCACCGCGATCCGCAGGGTGAGGAAGACGGACAACAACAGGATCGCCAGGTGAACGCTGTCTCCTCGCTGGAGCCCACTCCTGCTCTTCCTGCGTGGAGTTTTCATCCTCATCTCACCCTTTCTCCCCGTTTTTGTGAGCATCTAACATGACTGTTTGTATGCCAGGGCCTGCGGCGCTCGCATCGTGAGTCGCACAGATGAGCTGCGGGAGGAAGATGTGGGAACCGGAGCCAGGCTCTTTGAGGTTAAAAAAATAGGAGATGAGTATTTTGCCTTCATCACCGATTGCAAAGACCCCAAGGCGTGCACCATCGTTCTGCGTGGAGCCAGCAAGGAAATCCTGGCGGTGAGTTCAAATCATAGAATCATTGAATGTTGTGAGTT